AAAACCTTACATTATAACCCCTACATTGTTTACATTTTCTTAAGTAGTAGAAGATAGATTTTGGCACTTTGGTGGTCTTTGTTATCCCTAGGTCTTTTAATTTGACGATCAAACACTGATTGCTCACAAACATATGCTTTGAGCTCTTTCTCCAGCAGTTAACAAGCTGTACCAAGCCCAGCACTCCCTTTGGCCAGGTGTTTTCCACCCCCACTCCTGCCCTTTTGATGAATTAAGTGAACTAGATGACCAACTAGAATCAAAGGTAACACACAACGTGGCCAGAGAACACAGCAAAATTAATCTTGTTCTCTCAGAACCAAAAAACACTTGCCTTTCCATCAGCATGAATGATCTTCCAGAATTAAAATTTAACTATAAATATGATATACTTTCATATTCGTTTGACTACTGGTAAAATGAGAAATGCCCAACCTCATTTAGGGATGAAATGACCTCAAATTCATATAAACTGAGAAATTATTAGGCTTAACTATGTAAAATATCTTAACACTGAGAAGACAGGACAGTCTCATCAAAAGCTCATTTTTGGCACTTTAATCTGTGCATCTCTGCAACCCAGACGACTTCCAAATAAAAACTGAGAGGGCTCTCAGAAGGGCTACATCACAACGGGTGCAGGGAGAGAGGTGGTGTCAAATATTGTATTGATGCAATAGACAGTCAATAGAAAAAGTGCAGCTATACTCTTGCTTAGAGATCACTTTTAATCATGACCCTTCCATTTCATAGTTCAATAAATTACTAGCCTTAAAAGTCCTATTGAAGAAAATGCTTTCCTTAGTTACTCCCACTTAAATATTACCTAAAGCTATGCTGTCCAATAGCCACTAACCGCATGTGACTTTAAATTTCAATTAATTAAAATCAAAAATTCACTTCTTCAATCACAGTTGCTTCTCTTCAAGGGCTCACTAGCTACATGTGACTAGTGGCTACTAGAGAGCCACTAGTCTTTGCGGCTGGAGAGCACAAAGAACATTTTTATTATTGTAAAAAGTGCTATTGGATAGCACTGATCTGAAGAAAGTGCAGTGTGCTATATGCTCATGAGATTTTTCACTCTTTTTGAAAGCTGTTTAAAAGTATCACTATATCTCTGGGCTACAGATGAATAGTGATCTCTGCTCATAGCTGTCACAGGACGGTGTCAACTTTCCGACCATCACTCAATTTATGAGGTACTCAGGAGTTTCATGTAAGTAAGACTCAAGTAAAACATGAACTCAAGATATTTTCACTATCTGACTATAAAAGAACAAAGTGAAGATTGCATGGATGATGAAAGTAATTCAGCACTCGTATTTAAAACAGATCTCTTTCTTCTACTAATATCCATAAATCTTCAAATATAAAAGCATGCGTAACTACCATTTAAAGCTTCTCATGAGAATGGGGCAAATAGCCCAGATATTGCTCTATTTTACTTTGGTGTCTTAGCAAGGGGGCTGGGGGGGGGGGGACATTACTTAAGTACAAACAACAACAACAACAAAATAGTAAATTAAAATAAAAACAGTCTTAGGAATTGCTACCAAACAAGGACAAAAAACCAAGTTTCAGTTTTAGACATGCAAAAATGCTCTCATTTGTATTGATATCTGATATCTGAGTGGACTAACTTTGAATACTTTTAGGAAAATCAAGTTCATGTTATTTTCAAATTTACTTTGTCAGAACACAAAGTAGATAATAATTATATATCACTTCTTCCAAATAATTCTTGGATGGGAGGCACGGAGTGGGGAGCTGAATAGATTGCTTGTTTTTTTTTTTTCTTAGTAGGTAAAAGCAGAACAACTCAATCATAAAATGCACACAGCTGTATCTAAAAGAAAAATGCAAACACAACTTAACCAACTTTATTTGACTGCATCTTATTTAGACAGCTTGCACATTTCAAATCCCATTAAATCTCTCTCTCCAAAAGGATATGGGACAATAGAAGAAAATTATGCAGCAATATCCAGTCATCAAACAGCAGTCCAATATTTTGAAATACACGTGATATTTTATAGATACTCAACTCATATCTGACGTCAATATAATTTACGGTTATGTTTTTACAAACCTGAAAGCCCTGTAACATTATAGCACTCATTTTAGTGATGTCATGGTGCACTGGAAAGTAACTCTGATGCACTACCAATTTGCTTTTATCTATGCTCCTGGAAAGTGATGAACTTCATGATTTTTAGACACCATAATAAATATACACATCCAGTCTTATACATGTCAGCCAATACCATAACACAGGGCAAGGTAAAGTTAAAACATGTGACAAACAAACTCCTTTACACAGATTTGTCAAGCAAGTAGGGAGGGCAATTTACTCAGTAAGTAGGGAGGGTAAAAAACCAATTTTTTAATAATTTTACTTTTTTAATTTTGTTGGCTTCAACTTCAAAAACTACTGTCTGGTTTCTGATCTGTGGACTCCCCTAGAGTAGTTTCATCCTAATGTAAGGGAAATTACAATCAGTCCACACATCAAAAAATGGTAGCATACCCGTTAGCTTCTTCAATACTAACATATATAGCTTCATGGTAGCATGTATAAAATGTTCAGCAGTACGAACTGCCAAACCAGTGTCAGTGGATAGTACAGTCAGTCTTTAAGAGGCAGCACCCCGTTAAAAGAAAGTTGCACCAATCTTGCTCAGTTTTAGCCAAGTGAACTCACGCTATCAATTTTAAATGAGATTGTTTTAAGATTATATAAGAAAGATGAAAGCCCAATATCAAAAAGTAAATGAATGTTTGATGCTGCTTCAACTGGAATGGAGACTTAGTTTTGATGCTGGGTTATCATGCTAGACATTAAAATTTTAGTCTACTTAAGTAAACAATTTTTGTATACCCAATTAAAGACATAAGGTAGGCATTTCTGTTCAACATACACCAGGCTGAACAATACGGCAACCATCTGACTTTTTAGCCACATGGTTAAGGTCACGTTTACAAACACCCAGTCAGTTCAGCGAAACCTGGTCAATTCTGGGAGAAAAGGTCAGTAGAGATGGTTTCATTGACAACTTGCCAAAACATAATGGCTGAAATGAAAATCTAGCACGTATCTATCTACTTTAGAACCGTCCCCATTAGGGAGTCAAGCAAATGTATGTTCATCAACAATCATTACTAATGAATCAGCAAGTCAAATATAAAGTGGTGAGATAAAATTTGATAACTCTTTTAGTTCAGTTCCCTCCATATCAAAATTAACAGAAGCATTACTATGATTGGCATTCCTCTAAATGCTAGAGCCCAAATGACATTTGATCAAAGACATACTCAAAACAGTCAGCTGGAAAGCTGAGTATTGAGTGATCGTTATATTTTAACGCAATCAGTACTCAACCCATTAAACTTTCAAGAGCAATATAAAATGAAAGAAAAAGTTGACTTTAAAAATGAGGAACTATAAATGATCCCACCAGCAGGAAGATTTTATTTTCACCAAATCTGTGTATCTTTATTTTTAAAATACTTGTTACCATGTTCACTTTCAAGACACTGCACTGAGCAAGGAGCAGCTTTCCTTTAAAAAAAAAAAAAAAGGCAACAAACTTTCCTGAAAGGGGGCTTTTACCAACTGTTAATGGAGGTAGGGTTTTTAAAAATACAGTAATTATAGCCATAAAATAAAATTCAAACCAAATCCTAGAACAGAAGTAAAGCATATCCAAATTAAAGAAAAAACAACATAGATTCCTACAAAACATTTTTCACAGAGAATCAATCTTTTTTTTTTTTATGGGTACCTAGGTTTTCCAGTTAAATTATCCATCACAGGTTTCCTGACTCAGTTGAAAGCAATTAACTTATAAATTTGTTACACTGCACAGATTGACCAAAATACAATGTAACTGAACATGGTGATAACTATTAAGAAAACCCATAAAACTCACTCCAAAAAAATATTCCAATTTTCCCTTTTGTTTTTCTGGAAACTAAGCAAAGCTTCCCCAAGAATTTGCTTAAATAAGTGAAAAGAAAATAAAATCAGTTTAAAATGGATACAATGAACCTTCAAATTTATTTCCAAGACCAAGAACCAAAAGTGAAACAATTTAAGAAATGGAAGCAATGTGAATCCAAATCAAGTGGGAAAAAAGTTCCAGCTACTTTGTAAAAGCTGTTCTTCACAGCTTAGCAATAATTTTGATTAAATAAAATCATACCGATTTACATTAATTTTCTATTCTTTTCCAAAAATTCCCTCTCAAAAAAAAAAAAAAAAAAAAGTGCATCCAAAACCCAGCAATTCCCGGCTCCATCAACTTTTCTCATCCCTTTTGAGTCATTTCTCAAAGATTTTCCAAGTAGATTCAACTTCTTACTGTAAGGAAAGAAGGGACTTTACAGTAAACCACTCTGTCACTCACCTGGAAAAAAGTATCCAAATTATAAAAATCTGAAATAATTTATTATCAAATTTAGAATTTAAATAAAAACAAAAGTTTGCTTGCAAAGGCCTGAAAGAAAAGGAAAAGAGAGCATGCATTCAAAAACTAGAGATGAAGACAAATATACTTATCTACACAGGCACTGGCAGACGCAATTTAATTGTTATCTTTACTCATTGTAAGACACACCCAACCCTACATAACATTTTTTTTCATTCACTAATCACTGAGGTACCAATATCCAAGAATGGAAAATTTAATATTGAAAAAATAAAACCTAAAATTGAAGCTTTTCCCCCACCCCCTTCAGAAAACTATGGCAGGTTTCATGTGAAATGTTAGTATACTTAGAGATTTTTACAATCTACATTGGCTTTTTTAGGAACAAAAATCATGTTCCACTTACTGGTTCTGTGACAAAATGATCACTGTGTAAATAACATTGTCAGCAGACTTTGCAAATGAACAAACAAATCTTGGCTATCAACTGGCACATCTTGCTGGTACCAAAAGAACTCTTTAAGTTTAAAACAATCTCTTTTAATTCAGAACAAATGCGCCATGCCAAAGTGCAACAAATATTGTGCGACACTCAATGAGACACTGACAGGTAAGAGCTGCATGGAAATTACTAAATCCACCTGCAAAGCAATTCTGTACAAATTGCATTGCATGCAAAGGTCGATTCTGTGTGGTTGGAAAGTTGTTCCTTGGTATCAGTTTCTCAACGCAGCCACAATTTAAGTCGCAGTGCATCAACTCCATTTAAATAGTATCTGAACAGCCTCTTATCTCGAACAAAACCAAGATTTTCATAAAGTTTCAAAGCAGACTTATTCGTTATTTCTGTTTCCAAAACAACCTTCAAAAAAAATATGAGAAAACTAAGTTATAATTTTATATATTTGAAATTAGCTTATAATTTCTTAAGTTGACAAATCACAAAGTAAACATCAAATACTTAAGAAAAACATTCCATATCGGTTTTAAGATTGATGGTGAAAACAATAAATGTTAATGATGTAAAGAAAGAACCCAGAAAATGGTCATCGTAATAGTAATTTTCTCTTGGGGCAAGAAGAGGTAGGAATGCGGACATTTTCTGTTCTATTGATTTTTGTGATGTTTGGAATTTTTAGCAATGAGAATATACATTTTATACTAAAACAAAGATGAATTATTTCCCCGTGGAGAAAAGTAGTGTGACAAAAAGATGAAGAAAAGAAAAAAAATCAACAATACAAACTTTAAGAAAATACAATTTGACCTCCAACTCCTAACTCCTATATTTTCATTAATTTGTCGTCATTCATCCTGGCAACAACTACCCTATTTGTCTAGAATCTAGACCAGAATCTGCAAATTACGGTCCTGGAGCCAAATGTGTCTATTGCTTGTTTCTGTCAATAAAGCTTTATTGGAACACAACCATGGCCATTTGTTTCCATGATGTCCATGACTCCTTTTTCAATACAAGCAGAGTTGAACAGTTGCAACAGAGATCTATAGTCTGCAAAGTCTAAAATATTTACCCATTAGGCTCTTTGCAGAGAAAGTTTGCCAATCCTAGACCAAAGATACCCAAACATTAGTTAACTGGATTGCAGACACCCTCCTCTGGAGTTTCTGAGTAGATTTGGGGTGGGGCCCAAGAATTTATATTTAAAAAAAATTGCCAATTGATGCTGATGATGCTAGTTGGAAAACAACAGTCTGAAACCATGGACTATACATTATGGACATCAACACTGAACACAAGAACACATAAAATATTAACTTCTGAGTTGTTTTTAGTATTACTGAACAATGGCCCTGACAATGAAGAACTGACACTTTTTGAACATTGTGTGATTTTCTTTTATTATTATTATTATTTCTACCTTCCTCTACCCAAACATCCTCTATCCCATCCTCCTACCTTTTATATACACAGCTCTATTTGCCTTTCTATTGATTCTCAACCTACCTCATTGAGAATTGTCAACAAAGTGAGCCACAGTTACTGTTGGGATGTCATAACCCTCAGGTGTTTGAAATGAGACAAAAGGGCAAAGTATAATTAAACAAGGGTCCCAGTGAAGCCTATGAGTCACTTTCTATCTCAAGCTACCAAAACATCTGACAAATATTCAAGTAGATGTAAATAATAGAGAAGAAAATGTACTTCATCATATCCAAAACTGAACTCAACTCCTCCTCAAGTCCACATGTCAGTAACAATGCCTCAAACCTGAAAACCTAGGAGTCACTATTGAGCTTCTTTCCTCTCTACCCACCCCCCCCATATACATCCAACTACTATTTCTCTTCTCTCTTAAATCTCTCAAATAACCTCTTTTCCTTCTATCCCCTACTCATACCACTGTAGTCCAAGCTGGCATCAACTTTCACTGTAATTACAAGATACTCCTAACTCAAAAAGTCTCCCATTTTCTTTAAGTAGAATGATGTTCTTGTTAACCTCTGTTTAGAACCACTTACTGACTCCCTTTTGTCCTCAAGATAAAGTTCACAAATTATAGATAATCTAGGGGCACCTGGATAGCTCAGTCAGTTAAGCATCCGACTCTTGATTTCAGCTCAAGTCATTATCTCATGGTTTGTGAGACAGAGCCCCGCATCAGGCTCCACATTGACAGCCATGATCAGGCATGTCAGTCATTGACAGTCATGATCATGTGAAATTGTGATTTCACAATTCATGAGACTGAACCCACATCAGGCTCTGTGCTGAGCCTGCTTGGGATTCTTTCTCTCCCCCTCTCTCTTTGCCCCTCCCACACTCTTTCTCTCTTTCAAAATAAATAAACTTAAAAAAAAGTTTAAAAAATAAATAAAGATAATCTAAACAAACTTAAAAGGCCCTCAAATTATGGCATCTACCTACCTCACCAACTTTGCTTTAGGTCTACCCCCTGGTTCTCCATGATCAACACTAAACTTTCAGTTTCTGGAACTCACCTTGATCTTTCCCACCTTGATCTTTCCCACCTTAGATCTTTCACATAAATTGTTTTCTGTCTGGAAGGATGCTCTTCCTGTCCTCTTTGCTTTTGGCCTTAGCTTGTTACTTCCAGACTGGATGGATTATCCCTTTCTTTTTATACTACCCCGCTGACTTCATTCAACATTTGATGACCATGTCATCTCTCCTAGCTGATGAGCCCAACAAGGGCAGGGTCATGTATACCTCCTTCACAGCCATTTCCTGTATACCTAACACTGCCTGACAAATAGAAGGCTCTCAGATATGTTAATTATATGCATCCTTAGCACCTTTCATTATATTACACACATTACTTAAATATTAAACAAAAGTATTATTAAATTTTTAAATGACCAAAGGGCTTAAAGAGAAAGCATCGTCTTAAAGCAACTGAGCAAATCACATGCTAAATCTTAAATTTTAAAAGATCTAAAAACAGGTAATTAATAATTCAGGATAAAGAGAAAATGTTCCTAGGAAGGAACATTTGCCTTATTTCTTTTTAAGTTTATTCTGAAAGAGAGACAGACAGACAGACAGTTCTGTGCACTGTCAGCACAGAACCCAATGCAGGGTTGATCTCACAAATTTTGAGATCATGACCTAAGCCAAAATCAAGAGTCAGACGCTTAGCTGACTGAGCCACCTAGGCAACCCCCTAGGAAGAACATTTAAAGAAATGTTGTACAGCAAACAAGCTCGTTTAAGATAAGAATAAAAGTCAACAATTTTTCTCTACTCTTAAAAATATGGAAATTTATTTTTTAGTAATGTATACCATCATCCAGTCTGGGACAGTCCAGTCTGATCAATACAGGTTTTCAATTTTGAACAAATCTCTTGGGTAACTCCTAGAACTCTGTTTTAGGCCACCACCTAATTACAGCTAAAATGTTACATCAAAACAATATGTGAAGCAATAAAAGTACAACTCAAAACTTGGAACTTGATTTCACCGAAAAAGGAGTGACAGGTTTGTTTGGTTTTTTTTAAGCTAATATTTACTGATGGCTTACTAAATGCTATGTAAAGCATTTATATGCATTGTCATTTTATATCCATTTGTGATGTTATTTTCATAAATATCCTATGAAATAGATATGATTTTTCTCCAATTAACAAATGAATGAAACTCAAGGCCACCAGTAGTACAAAAACAGACCAGACTCCATATCTGAACTAGACCTTATAATATCCACTCTTCTGTGCCTCCCCCTGATTCTTTCCCCAGAGTAAACCAAAGTGGCAATGGGAGATCTAACCTACTTATGACACAATGAAGGGGACCTAAGTCCATGTTCATTAGTATTTGGCAACTGAAAATATTAAGACACATCTGAGGCTAATTATGGCTACATAAATACACACTTGAGGTGTGGTAAAGAGTTGAATTCGCCTTTGTTGGCATCCTAGCAGATGAGTGAAATACAGCCCAATTACACAGACATGGAATTATACAAAGGGCTGACCTTATTTAAAACCAAAGGATAGTCTCGGTACACTCACATTCTGTCAATAAAGAGATCATCTGACAAAATAGGAAATGTCAGAAAAAACTAACTTTTTAATACTTAATCACTTAAATTCTCTTAAATTAAAAGAGAATCTGGGTTTACAATGAAAACTCAGTATGAAACTATTCGTTTAGTCCACATCATGGGAGTATTACATAGGAAGCCAAAGGATAATGAGGTTATTTTGGTCCCAAAGAAACTTGGCAAAGTTGAATTCTACTTAACAGAAAAAAAGATTACAGTGAAGTTCCACGGATTCTCTTAGCAACAAACCACTGTCAGGACAAGCCAAACTATTACAGTTTAGAAAGCCTTTTTTTAATATTTTAGGCTGGAACTGCTGGAGGGAGGGCAAGCTGTTCACTGTTAGAATCTAAACACTAGCTTATCATCTGGCACTTCATAGACCTTATACTGACACTGCTGAATAAACTTTACTGTTCTTCATAACATTCCTTTAAGATCAGAATTACTACCACATTGCATACACAAAGAGAAAGACTATAAAAAGTTAAATGACTTGCCTACAATCACACAACTACTAAGTGACAGAAGATGAATCTAGAACCCAGGATTCTCATACCCAGTTCTTTAATTAGGACAGACTACTTGATCAAAAAATCCTTATAGTTTAAATAACTCCGTTTTACTCTGTTCTTTACCTAGCAGCCTCTGTTTGATAGCCAAAATAGGTTTCCAGCGAAACTAAAAATGTTCAACATATAATTGTTAAACATAGAAAGCTTAAAAGTCACCTTCGTACATTATCAAAAAATAATAAAAATACCTGATATGTATCTGTACATAACTAAATACCATATGTATTTTGTTACTATGTAACAGATTTATTACTGGTTATGCTAAATTAGACCACTGTTGGTAGGAATGTAAATTGGTACAGCCATCATGGAACAGTACGGAGGTTCCTCAAAAAATTAAAAATAGAACTACTATGTGATCCAGCAATCCCACTTCTGGGTATATATCCAAAGGAATCAAAATCAGGACCTCAAATAGGTACTTAGTATCAAATAGATACTCCCATGTTTATCACAGCATTATCACAACAGCCAAAATACGGAAATAACCTATATGTCCAATGTCTGTCAACAAATGAATGGATAAAGAAAAGGAGCATATACAAACAATGGAATATTTTTCAGTCTTAAAGAAATCCTACCATTGTGGCAACATGGATGAACCTGGAGGACATAACGCTAAGTGAAACATATCAGACATAGACAAATACTGCATGATATCACTTATATGTAGAAACTAAAATAAACTCATAAAAGCAGAAAGTAGAATGGTGGATCCCAGAGGAAATGGGAAGATGCTGGTCAACTAAAAATAGAGCACATAGAGCACATTTAAACTCAATTAAGAAATGTGGTGTATTCTCATCATATAGGAGTTAATTCTGAGTATTGACATCACAGCAATCATACTTTAAATCTAAAAAAAATTTCTGAAATTTAAATTCCCAGAGATGAAGACTTCAAAAGGACATCTATAGATTAAAGGTAAAGCACTGTTCATCATGCTGACCAATCACCCCATTCTAATTTATTTCAGGAAAAAAGCACACAAAAGTAAACAGTCACTGTGTGGGTTATTTTAGATATATGAATCCTACTTTATTTTTTTTTTTTTTTTTTTTTTTTTTTTTAAATTTTTTTTTTCAACATTTATTTATTTTTGGGAGACAGAGTACGAACGGGAGGGGCAGAGAGAGTGGTATACAGACCGAGGCTCCAGGCTCTGACAACAGCCCATATTCCATCGCTGGGTTCGAACTCATTTAGATCGGTGAGGATCGCAGAGACCTGTTGAAGTCAAAGCATATCGACATCATGCCGGAATCTGGTGGCTCTCCATGAATCCTACTTTAAAAATAACATTCTAGGGGTGCCTGAGCGGCTCAGTCGGTTAAGCATCTGTCTGACTGATTTCAGCTCAGGCCACGATCTCAGTCGTGAGAAGGAACCCCACATTGAGGTCTATGCTGGATGTGGAGCCTGCTTAGGACTCTCTCTCCCCCTATCCTTCTGCCTCTCCATGCGTGCATGCAAGTGCTCTCTAAATAAATAAATAAATACATACATACATACATACATACATACATACATCCATCCTAGAAAACTCATTCATGCTATTTGTGTGTATTTTTCTTACTATTTCCCCTAATGTAATACACAAAGCCAAGATGCTTGCCCTAGTAGCCACCAGTATGGCAGCAAGAGCATGTGTGGGTGTAACCAAATTCAAGCCAGATCAGTAATATGGGTAATGCATTCTCATTCATGAAGCAACAAATCCCCTTGTTTCTTTTTTTAATGCTATAATTTTTTAGACAGCTCCAAATATACAGAAAATGAAAAACATCTTTTAGTTATGCTGTTTTAACATGTCTAATTCTGACATAAAAAGTTAGGAAAGTCATAGTAAGGCAAAATGAAAACATCTATTAGATCAGGAGAGTCTTTCATTATTATTTGAACAAAAACATGATCTACATTTCAACTCTGTGATTACTAATTTTGGTTTAATATGCTGTGAAATTATTTTAAAAATGACAAGAGCAACCAAGAGCAATATAAACTCAGCTCAAGGTCACAAATTCTACAAATAGAACAGAAAGTAAAAATTGACTGGATGTGCATGGTAAAGCTTCACAGAGATTTCCAAATGTCACTTTCTTTACAGGTGCATAGATTTAAACATTTCTATCTTTATAAGAATAATAATAATAATAAAAAAAAAAACAGTACATCCTAAGTAGTAGAAAATGTAATTTAAATCCCTTTTCAAATGTATTTCTGATAATTTGTCAAAACTCCTTAACACTTTTAAAGAAAGGAAGGTTGGCCTAACTTAATAAAAGTAAAATTACATGTTGGTTATTTCAAAATTGGTCACTGCATCCTTAGAGAATTAAAATTTCAGTTTTCCTCAGAACAATGAATTATATATCACTGTTTTTATGTGCAATTTTTTTTTTTACCAAAAGGTATTTTAACTGATTAATAATGCTGTAGATACTTTTTTTTTTTAATTTTTAATGTTTATTTATTTTTGAGAGAGAGAGAGAGAGACAGAGTGTGAGTGGGCAAGGGGCAGAGAAAGAGGGAGACACAGAATCCGAAGCAGGCTCGAGCCTCTGAGCTGTCAGCACAGAGCCCAATGTGGGGCTTGAACTCATGAACTGTGAGATCATGACCTGAGCCGAAGCCAAACACCAAACCGACTGAGACACCCAGGCACCCCTCCCTGTAGATACTTCAAAAAATTTTACTATGTACAAAAATAAGATAACTGCTCTTCCCAGAAAGCTTATAGAAAGCTCAAAGAGAAAGACAAGTTAACAATTATGCAAGTCGAAATTCACAAGTACATTAAAAAAAAAAGGAGGTACAGATAAGATGCTGGTGGCACAGAACTAACTGGTCAACCATCATACTCTATCGCAAATGCCACACTAAGTACTAAGAATACAGCAGTAAACAAGAAAAGGCATCTCTGCTCTCCACAGTGGCTAAGGCAGACTCTGAACAAGTAAATTTCAGTGAAGTAAATTTTACAAAAAGAAATGTTAAGAAAACCACAGAAACTACACAATTGATTCTGTCCAGAAGGATTAAGGAAAACTTTAAAAAATTGTTATTGTATTGGGTCTTAAAGACTGAGAAGTAGTTTAACAAGTAGGAGGGCCAAAAAGCTACTAGGCCTAGCAAACACATCAGTGAGAAAGTAGTTACAATGGATTGGAGGGGGAAGAAACCAAACCAAAGGGGATGAAATGGTAATAAAAGGAAGTGGAACCAACAAACACAAATTATCAAGAATTAAAAGAGAGAGGGGGATAGAATTGTTGCTTATATAGTTTAAAACTCAATGAAAGGGAGAGTGAAAGCCTTATAAGGAGTAAACAAAATTCTAACCCTGCACAGAGCAAATCCTTTATCTGAACAATATGGGACACACTAAATTTTGTTTAAAACATGGAAGAGTTAAAAACAAAACAAAACTGGGGCGCCTGGGTGGCACAGTCGGTTAAGCGTCCGACTTCAGCCAGGTCACGATCTCGCGGTCCGTGAGTTCGAGCCCCGCGTCAGGCTCTGGGCTGATGGCTCAGAGCCTGGAGCCTGTTTCCGATTCTGTGTCTCCCTCTCTCTCTGTCCCTCCCCCGTTCATGCTCTGTCTCTCTCTGTCCCAAAAATAAATAAACGTTGAAAAAAAAAACAAAAACAAAACAAAACAAAACAAAAAACATGGAAGAGTTCTTTAATTCAAAGGCAGAGTAATTCAAACTGCAAAAACGTAAGTTCATGGAACTATCTCCATTTCAGATTAATATTAAGTAAAACTCATTGCTTCAAAAGAAAATTCAGAACAAGATCTTTAGGTCCACAATGAAAAGAGTATTTCTACCATAAAACGTATCACTAATTTAGGACCTAACTTTGAGACTAAAACAATATAACCCAAATCTCCGTATCATTCCCCAGAACTTTCAAAGAAAAACCAATACCATTTAAACATTTGCTCAGTTAAGGTAAGGCACACACCCTGTCTCGCAGGTAGTGACTAGGATAACTCACAAAACGCATAGCTATAAGGAACATAATACTCCTTGTTCATAACATCCCTGCTCACTGGAAACCACTCTATTCAGGAGCAGTAGAGGATCAAAACATGGTCTTATCAACCCAAAGATTTTTCCAAATTCTTCAGCAACTTTTATGAAGCTTGACTTCTCTTCCTGATGAGCTACACCAGTGTGACTATGGTCCAAACAGATCAACATATGCAGTCCAATCCTCTTCTGCAAATTTTAGTTACATTAAAATGGTCGGGGTCACTGCATCTTTTACTTCTTGATATTAATAACTGTGAATTATATGAGATCCTCCACTGTATGTGAATTATCTTATTTGAAATAACACTGAATGCCCTGATATCTCAGGATGGCTTCCTCCGTTTTACCCAATGTATCTGTAGGCCTACTCATAAAACCATTATTTAGTGTGGCCTGTCGGAATACAAACTAATGTGAACAAGGAGCATGAGAATAGTCTAGGGTAAATCTCTGTATTCTGACATGGAAACACGTTCACAAGATACTGTTAAATGAAAAAGTAATTACTGCAGAATAATAATTATGGTTTAGTTTGTATAAAGAAAAACTATTACGCAGCTAAGATGTGTGCTTAGAATGTGAGGATACATATTTAAAGATTAACAGTAGCTATAAGTGGAAAGAAGAACAAAGCATTGAAGAGTGTGAGGACAGTGAAAGAAGGGACTTTGCACCCCCAAATATACACATACATATAATGGTTAATGAGTGTGTATAAATTTTGTACAGAAAAAAACCCACCTTAAAAAATTATCAAAACAAGTTACAAACTTTTGAGGAAAAATTACCTAATTTCAAGTATTTTGAGAACTGTCTAAGGCATATTTGCCCTCTAATAACAAAGACAACTGTCCCTTGTAACGTTCATAAAGTTACTAGCATCATACAACTTTGTTCCTTCATAGTCACCATTGCTATATCAAAAACATCTACACTTCTCTAGTTTATACTTATTCTCTTCCACCTGAAATAGTAAATTGTAACATTCCCAACCATCACCATTAGTTATGGAGCATTCACCATGTGTATGGCACAGTGCTGTAGGATATGAAAAAATTTATACCTGTGGTTAGGCTGTACAAACAAGCTAAACAGAAAAGATGCTCTTAGGTTGAAACATAGGTCTAATTTTAAAAGTGGTTGTCTTTTTTTCTCCTTAGCCTTATCATTAGCTAATGCTGATTTTTTATTTTCAAACATGAAATGTCTTTCATATGAACTGACAGTTGGCCCATAGATTAAACAAAAAAAAAAAAAGTTATTTAGAGAGAAACTAAGGCCGATATGTAAGGAAATTACAGTAAGATATGTAATAAGAGCCACCTTAAATGACTTAACTGATAACAAATCCTCTGAATACCAAATCCTCTGAATACCAATTATTTACTGAAAATGTCTAAGATTTCACCTTTATGTTTTGACAAAGAACAAATTTTAGCTCCCATTATCATCTTAGAATTTGTTCTAGGTCAAAACTCAAGTGCTTTTCACCACAAGCTACAATGTTATAATAATAGTTTGCAATGAAATTTGCAATACAATTTATTGTGGGATATTTATTTAAAAACCAAACTGATAAAATACAGACTAGGAAAAAAGGTTTTAAACATTTAGAAAGACTTACCTCATCACAGTCTCCTTCAACCATGGCATATATAGCTTTCTTAACCAAGTTAGTACCTAGAATATAGATCTGAGTATTAATGAAGGAAAATTTAGTTTCTTAAGGATACCTAAATTATCGTATTTATAAGCACAGAAATATCAAATGCTGGGTTCTACCTTGAACGCAGACAACAGACTATCTTAAGTGAGAAAAAATTCAGATTTAAACTGAGAGCCCAACAAACCTACGCATAGTAATATAAGTTCCCTCTTAAAAGACATAGCTCCTTAGGCATCTCTTTTTCTCAGGTGTAATTATTTGCTCCAAGCAGGAGTTTGTGCTCTTCTGTTTGAAAGTAAGAGAAAAGGGAAAAAAGAAAAAGGCAAGATATGGTACGGCCAGAACAGCCCAGGAAATCCTTGAACTAGCCAGAAGCTACAAGACCCTTGGGCCAATCTTGCCAAAGATCACACCAGAAACTGCTGTGGCCCAGAGTGGACCCAAGACACTGGGTTGGTTCCTACAAACCTTCCAGTGAATCCGGGCATTCCCAAATGATGCCAGTGGTGTCTCTGTAAATGTCTAGCTAAATGTATCCTGGTTTAGGGTCAGATACACGTGGTACATTAAAGGGAAAAAACTGACAAATCTGATTCTAAGAAAACCAAATTGTTAGGAAATCTCTTCATTTTCAAACCATGTACATGAACAAGAACACATTACATGGGCCAAACAAAATGTCTGAAGGTCAGGATGCAATCCTCAAGCCACCAGTTTCTGCCCTCTGAACTAGACAGATAATTGCCTATCATTTGCCATGAGCTCTTATCAGCTCTTTTCAATGCATCAATATAACAGGTCCAATTCATTAAAAACCCTAGCAGTAAACTCTAACACTGTAAAAAATAAGTTGGTTAACACTAATGTAGTAAGTCAGCATACTCACAATGATTTCTCATGACCTCTCAGACTGTATGAAACTCTTAAATTGGACAATAATACTCGTATTTGAAACAACAACAACAAACTACAAGTGACAAACTGCTAGTAATTAAATACCGGAATAGGCATCAATTCTTCTTTCACAAATACTTACTTAGCTTCACTAGATCCCAGGATCTGACATGCTCTGACAAGTGCTCAATCCCCCATCCTGAACAAAGAGCCAGTAGGTCCTAGACACTAGGACAGTAGTTCTTAACCAGGCTTATATCACAGTCAGCTGGGGACACTTCAGTCCTACTTCTAACAGGACACACAACATTCTCAGGAAGAGAGACCGAAACATTTGTTTTTAAACCACCCACATGATTCTAATGACCATTATAAATCATAAATATAAGATTGACTGAAAATGCCAGGAAAAGTAGACCCAAGAAAGAGATGAATTTGGGAATAGTAAGAAACAATTCTCCTGGTCCTCCCTGAGTTGCTAATACAATGTTTGAGGACTAGAACTAAATAATGGTAACAATTTCTCCTTAATTTTGCCTTGAGCTCCACTTAACCCAAGTATAGACAGCTCCTAGAGGGCTGTGATCAAGTGCCCCAAAATGCTATTAAGAGTTGCAGTACATAGTACAATGCAAAGCATTTTGAATGTGATCAAAAAAATGTTTGGAAGTAAAAACTGATTCACTTGTTACTTATTAGAAAGATAATTTCTCAAACAAAACACTAATAAAGAAAACAATTCATTTCAGGAACATTTTGAAAATATTTTGAAATAAAAATAACCTTAATTTTCTCCCCTTAGCTTCTTTCTCATTTCTATACATTTACATTTAAGTCTTTTGCTTCAAAAAACAAATACGAAAATAACTTATGCATTCTTTTAGTGACATAATATTTTCCTTACCAATGCCATTTCTCCTGTACTTGGAATCCACGGCTAACATGGCTATATAACCTCTGCGGAACATCTTTTTGTGCATATCCAACTTGCAAACGATGGCACCTACACACTCCTCCCCTACCATGGCCTTAAAAATAAACAAACAGTTATGAAGAATACATTGCCGTCAGGTACCGCACAATTACCCAGGGAAACAGCAACCAACCACTGGTCAGCATTTTTGAGGAAAGAAGAGAGAAGAATTCTAGTAACAGAGCAATCACAGAAGTTTCAGAAATCTAAATCCCAGAACTCCTTCAGAAGTTCCAGTTTTAAAATCTTTCAACACTGTTTAGGGCATAAATGTCTTATGCTCATTATCAAAGCCTGGGGGGAAAAAGCAAGATTTCCACAAAGTTAATACTCAAGTACTTTATAAGAGGTACTTATAATTATTTGCAATAAAGACCTACATATTTAAGATTTGGGGAGAAATACGTGAAAGTAATTTTTTTAAGAAAATGTCTCTTCAAAAGAAAGAAAGAAAATGTCTCTTCATTAGGGTATAAAATACTATGAAACTTATCAAAGTACTATAAATTTAAATGTAATTCTAACAAAGTTTTAGTGAAAGACAGAACACCTAATATTTATACTACCTCACAGTAGAGTTCGATTTTGAGCAGGAAAAAAACAAAAACAAAGACAAAAAAATGCAAACGACTTTCACAAAAAAGATGGTTATTAAGGTATTCCTTGGATCCTCCCCAAGGGTTTTTGTTAGTGAAGGACTACAAAGACTAGATATTCAATGGTCTAGTCACTCCCGACAATGTCATTATCACAAAGCTCAAAGAATATCTAGAACTTAAAACCAGAGCTTCATATTAAAGTGAAAGCTTTAATTTTACAGAGCTACTTTAATAAAAATTTATGTCTTTCCAGAGTATTAAAGGTTAAATGCTGAATAAATGCTAATAATCCCCCATTTTTATTAAGATTTCCAGTGTTACCACTGAAAATAAGTTTTTCAAAAGTTCTGTCACTGATGAAAAGTTCTAGTAATACTGTATTCTGGTAAATATCAATAGGGCAATAGCTTTAATTGTTTAATAATGTGTCAGCTAGTTAGAAGTATTTGTTTGTTCTAAAGAGCACTCATTTAAAAAATATGAAAACTTCAAATTATCTCTTAATAAAATAAAATTTCCAGAAGAAACTATTTCAACAGCAAAAACCAGGAATTGGTTTAAAAAATTAAAAAGCCCAGTTTACACTTAATTTTAACTTAATTTTGATGTGACATTTAATTCATCATTCTGTAAAATGATTAAAAAGACTTTTTTAAACTGTGAGAAAAATCTTTTAGATAATTCCAATCCATTTCACACAAACCTGAACTAGGTCAGAAAAATCCTTTTGAAGGGATATTAAATTGAATAATCCACTTAATTCATTTCTGTTTTATCACACAATCCAAAACTATCTTGGACAATAAACCTCTAAAACTGTTATTTCCATTTTCATTCACAATAAATCAATCTGGTTCTGTAAAAGCTGTTTTCAAAACTAAAATTTCTGGGGCACCTCGGTGGCTTAGTCAGTAAAGCATCTGACTCTTTATTTTGGCTCACGTCATGTTCTCGCAGTTTGTGAGTTTGAGCCCAACGTCGGGCTCTGCACTGAGAGTGCAGAGCCTGCTTAGGATTCTCTCTCTCTCTCTCTCTCTCTCTCTGGCCCTACCCAGCTCTCACTCACACTCTACTCTCTCTCAAAATAAAAACAAAAAAACCTTAAAATTTCTTTATGAAATAATAGCTGAAATACACACAAAAGTGGCCTGGTTGAACAACTCTGACAGCATTTTCTGATTTAAAAATAACTCATCTCAAATATATGTGGTTGTGTATATATGTATGTACATACATGTTAGGCCCAAAAGTACATTTAAAAATTTTAAGTAGGCTTCACGCACAGCATGGAGCCCAACATGGGGCCCGAACTCACGACCCTGAGATCAAGAGTAGGACATTTAAATGACAGAGCCATACCCAGGCACCCCACATTAAAAAACTTTGTGACCTAAGGTTGTAAATTAGGGAAAATGGAAATCTATATAAATCTATGATATAAAACTGTAGGACAGCTACATTTCACAATTAATAAACCATCCCAAAGAAGAAAGAATCAAAACCACTAGACACAATACATTTGGACAATACTTCCAAATTGGATAGGAATTTCAAACAAATCTTCTTTTGACCAAGGTAGTAAAGGGCGAACAAAGTATTTTATCAGTTCATGCTTGGACTAGATTGACTCTTCCTAATTAAGAATATGTAGGAGCAAAAATCAAGTGGTGCTCATTGTTAAAAAATAAAAGCCCAATGTGGCACCTGGGTGGCTCAGTCAGTTAAGCGTCCAACATCCACTCAGGTCATGATCTCATGGCTCGTGGGTTCGGGACCCATGTCAGGCTCTGTGCTGACAGCTCAGAGTCTGGAGCATGCTTCAGATTCTCTGTCTTCCTCTCTCTCTGCCCTTCCACCATTCATGCTCTGTCTCTCAAAAACAAGTAAAAAATGTTAAAAAAAATTTTTTTAAAATTACAAAAAAAATAAAAGCCCAATATATAATGTACTCTAATAAGATATTCGTAGAGAGGAAGGCCTACCCTGCTATTTTTTCCTGAGAAATTGCTGATGAATATGTAAGAATTACTAAACTGCTTATCAATTTTTCCAAATAAAAGCTTCTCCACATATATTTGGAAGTCATACTATTAAATGTGTTCCTTTTTCAAGGATGGGAACTGAAAAAATCTTGGCAAGATTAAGACTTAACTCTACAAGGCCAATCGCTTGTCAATCTACAAAACTTGAAAACTACAAGTTGTATGAAATAGAAATTCCCAAATTCCAGAATGCTATACATAGGAAAACAGAGGAAGCCAGAAAGTTAAATTTAGAATAAACAGAAATACTATAGTACATCACTGGTAATAAGTTTAAGAAGTTCAAAAAGGCACTAAAAGATAAAAATACCATGAACTCAAAAATGGCAAAGATAAATTAGTTAAGAACAGAAAAATTGACAGGGTCTCCCATTTGTATAGTACTCTACTATCACATCTGTTACAATTATTAGAAGAGCCATAAGAAACTGTCATTTTTGTTAGTCAGGTTTGGTCAAGTGCTGGCAATTTTCTACGGAAAGTTCAACCTCATACATTCCATTTGATCCATTACAGGTTATATATAGAAACCAAAAACATTTTGGAGGTTTTTAATCTCTTGAGATTATTGATGTTTGCCAGGACAATATAACTTGGGGACACAATGATCTTCCCTGAAGATCAAGGGTATGTCATTTTTCAGATTCTTACTTATTTCCATAATGAGGGGTCAGGTAAAGTTCTAACTTTACCTCTCTGCCACTAAATATCTGAAGCTTTTTTTTTTTTAAGATTTTATTTTTAAGTAATCCCTATATCCAACGTGAGGCTCAAACTCACTACCCTGAGGTCAACAGCAGCATGCTATGGGGCACCTGGGTGGCTTAGTTGGTTAAGCATTCGACTCTTGATTTCAGCTCAATTCTTGATCCAATGGATTGTAAATTAGAGCCCCGTATCAGGCTCTGTGTTGACAGCATGGAGCCTGCTTGGGATTCTCTGTCTCCTTCTCTCTGCCCCTCCCTGCTGGCTCGCTTGCACTCTCTCTCTCTCCCTCAAAAATTAACATTAAAAAAAAAAAAAGAGTCGGATGCTCCATGGATTGAGCCAGCCAGGCACCCCTAAATATCTGAAGATTTAAACATTTTTAAGTCACTCGGGTCCTTAATTTTTTTTTCATTAAAAAAAAAAAAATGAAGTTGAGCTAGATTATATTTAAGACCCGTTAGAGTTCTAAAATGATATGATTTAAAATAAACATACACACTTATATTTATTTTAAATTGTTCTTAGAGGAAATTCAAATTTTTTAAACGCCAACATAAAGGCCCCAATTCTAAGTGGCCTCTGATTAACTATTGTTTTCTGTTCCATATCTCCAGATACATACTTGCACTAATAAATCTTAGATGTCAACCACTTGTACATATCTCAATTTCCAGATATTCAGAATTTAATATTAAACAAACTATTAAGAACTAAAGTACAAATTAGCTGGCGAACTGGAAGGAGTCTACGTAAAATCAAAACTAAAGTTTAATATTAGGTTTATCAGAGTCGAAAATGGAAGACAAGTTGAGAGAGGTCCAGGTAATATCAGAACCCAAAGCTGACTAAATATTATATATACAACTATTTTCTGTAATTAATAGAAATACATATTTCAATTTAAGGTTTGACTCAGTCATATACTTTTGTGGGTAAATTTACAATTAAATCAATCTACAATTTTTAGCAATTACAGTGGCATTTAATGACACATATATAGTGCTATAAAATCATCCCCATATGCACTGACATAGGCATGTCTTAGAACTTCTATGTTGATACAATGGTTAGAATCCTGTAAGAGCAGTTTTGTAGAATATAAGATAGTTCCTACAGTTTAAACAAATATACTAAATTGAAGTTTAGCAAAGTGAACATAGAAAACAGCAGAACTACCATTATCTACAATTCTGAGGTTATATTTTTAGATTACCACCAACATACAGAATCAGAATCAGAAAGATGGATTTCTAAAGAACTGTCAAAACATCTTGGGGGGATGTGCAACGAAGTGCTAAGTGCAATTACGTCAATGCTAAAACATAAATAGTAGTAGCTTCTCCCTTTACATAGCAAAAAATATTTCTTAAAAGCATGTTGCCTTTCTTTGGTGAAATTCAAGAAATAAAATGCTTCTGAGGACACGATACAAAACATACCTCCAGTTAATATTTAAGTGAAAGGTTTCAGAATAAAATTGGTCAATATTTTGGGGAAGAAACTATTGGTACTGCCAGTACTACATAAATTTAAAAAAAAACCAAGAAAACTATTTAGCTTGTTTCATAGCCAAATCTTCTTCACTTACATGGAAATCAAAAAATTCTGTCAACTGTGCTTTACACAGCCTGTGTCACTATTAATATGTACGTATATGGATGATCAGTTTCTTAAAGGAAAAAATGAGATTAGTAACAGTTTCACACTTAAGTTTCCTACATTCCACAAAACGGTATTTTGTTCGAGCTTCAGGGTCTTTCAGCCACCAGAAGTGTTAGTAGTGCCTTCTACAATCTAGCACCAGAAAGCAGGCTGGCTACAACTGCTAATTGTCCTGAATTGTCCTGTCGAAGTAAAAGGAAACAATCTCCATAATTACGGAAAACGCTTGTAAGATTTAATTCCCCAATGTGGCCACAGCAAGTTTACTGACAATCATGTTCACCAAAACATGTTTATGCATACACTCTTCCCTGATTACGGCTGTAATTGAGAGATTAATAAAGCCTGTATCCGAACAGAACCATGTTCAAATTAAATGATTGCAGAGTGCTTTGAGGATGAGGGAGGGTAATTAAAGACGGTTAAACATGATTATAAGCTAATATAAACAGAATCGAAGACCCCCAACATGCATCATACAGGCTTGTTGCATTTACATAAGTACCAAGTTAAGCCAGATCAAGAAGTCTTACCTTCAAAACAGTTTCATTAAAAAACTAGGAGTGTGGACACGCACTTTACATCATGTAACGTACTATGAAACGCAGAAGTATACATCCACTGCCACTCTCAGCCCTCACACTCCCTGCCCTGCACGGCCTGGATCTCTCTGCTGCGTTCACCCTCTTTGCATTCCATCCACTTACCAAGAAGCACAGCTGTGGCCAGTTGTGGATAAAATATCTATAGGTATAAATGGAGTAGGGTTCAGACAGATCTTTGGTGATCAGTCTCATGATATCGGGCATTTGTAGCTCGGATTCATATCGGACATAACGTATCGTCCGATCCTCCCCAGGCTCAACCTCCCGGCCTGAGGGGCTTCTTAAACTGCAGCCGGCGGTCAGGGATGAAGACAGCAGCCGCACCTGCTCATCTTCCTCCTCCTCCTCCTGCTCCGTGCCCTCCGCCAGTCCATTGCGGGCCGCCGCAGGATCGCTCGCCGCCACTGCCTCCGCCGGGCTGGGGAGCGCAGTTCTTCCATTATTGGGGAGGCAGTGAGGGGGGCTCTCGCCCGAGTGTACCCCAGCTCCTTTTGTTGCAGTCGCTCTGGGCCCCCCGTCGGGGGTGGCCGTGGTCGTGGCCGCCTCGGCCGCGCTCAAAACCTTGCTCTTGAGAGAGGCGGCCGCCCGGAGGTGCCGCAGTTCGGGGCTGATCAATCCGTTGAGCTGCTGCTGCTCCTGCGGCGGCTGAGGGCAGCGGAGGCACGGATGCCCCTTGGCCGCCGCCGTCGCCTCGCCGCCCGCCGGGCTCCTGCCGCCGCCGCCTTCGTGCTCCTCGTCGTCCTCCTCGTCCTCGCTGCAGCAGGCGAGGGCGGCCCCCGCCGGGAAGGGACAGCGGGGCTCGGCCGCCGCCGAGGCCGGAGGTGCTGGTGGTGGGAGGAGGCTGCTAGGCCCAGGCGGTACCTCCGCCATCCTAGAGGCGACACAGACCGAGAGGGGAGGCCATGAGACCCCGCGGACGAGCGCGGAGCAGAGAGGGCGTCGGGCGGGGGGAGGGGGGGGCGGCGAAGGTGGAGGGGGGG